TTTATTATGAATAATAATGCTGCTGAGAATACTAATAGACAGGATTTTGTGTGGATATATATTTTTTTTCCTTGGTATATACCCAGGAGTAGAGTTGTTGGGTCATATATTAATCACTCTGTGTATACTTTCAGGGCACTTGCAGACTATGACTGCTAAATTCTCATCAGTATTGTGTGAGGGATTCTAGTTTTTTCCATCTTTCTAACATTTTTTTTTTTCCTGCTTTTTGATGGTAGCTATCCTGTTAAGTATGAGGTGGTATCTCAGTGTAATTTTGGTTTCCTTTTCCTCGTGATTAATGATGTTGAACATCTTTTCATGTATTTCACTCATTTACTTGTCTTCTTTAGAGAAATGTTTGTTCCAGACCTTTATGCGTGTGTGTGTGCGCGTGCACACACACACACACACACACAGGTTTTTTCTTTCAGCAGTACTGCTATTCAAATGGTCTTGTACATTGTAATCAAGCGCTCTATCACTGAGCTCCACCCTCCTGCCTCTACTCATTTTTACATTGGTTTGTCTTTTTATTGTTTGGTGGTAAGAGTTCTTTATACAGTATATTCTATCTCTGACTCCTTTTCCAGTTACGTGATTTGCAAATACTTCCTCACATTTTCTTTGTGGTACCCTTTGAAGTATAAAAGTTTTTAAATGTGATGAACTTTGAAGTATAAAAGTTTTTAAATGTGATGAACTTCCAATTTGTGAAGTTCTCTTTTATTGTTTATGCTTTTGATGTTGTACCTAAGAAACACTGGCTAACCTAAGATCATGAAGATTAACTCCTATCCTTTTTTTTCCCTGAAAGTTTTATAGGCCTTTTTTCACTTAAGTTTATAGACCTCTTTCATTTCATCTTTGATCCATTTTGGGTTAATATTTACGTATGTGTGAGGTAGGCATCCAGTTTCATTTTGGAGGGGGCATATAGGTTATTGTCGAAAACATTATCATTACCATTTGTTGAAAACATGACATTACCAGGGTCCTCTCCCTGCCTATGGCTACTTTTATGTGCCCCTGGTATTTCATATATGAAATAGCTTCTTCTGTTGATGATTTTGATTATTTTAGTTAAGATTGATGGAAATTGCCTCTTTTTAAATCTGTTGGTACACTTCATGAGAATGTATGTTATAACCTGTCACCTCTTGACCTTTTAGACTGTTAAGGTTTAATAGGGTTTTGCAATCCTCTAGAAACCTCCCTAAAGAAGGCAGCCTAGGGTTGTATGGCATGGCTTCTGTATGCCTGTGCGGGAACAAACTTGACTGTATCCTCATATGTGGTAGCAGTAATAAGGATGCATGGATCGGAAAAGAATCAGTGATCCCAGTTATAGCGTTTGGCTGTTAAGTTGAACTAATACTTGCTGTGATTAACTGAATAATTTGAGAATTGCTGTTAATTGCTCTGAAGTAGGTCGTTAGGAGAAATTTTAGAAAAGATCCTCACCTCTGGTGTGACCAGTAATCTCTGAGCGAGGATGAACTGCTGTTCAGGTGCAGAGTGAATCAGAAGTACAGTGTATGCCTTTTTTGTATTTACTTTTTTTTTTTTTTTTTTT